AGTAACTTGCCAGGTTATATGGTTGGAATTGGCGAGCAGGGACCCAAAATCATAAGAGCTGGCTCCAGAGTTTGTAGTCTTAACCACTAACCCAGCGTGGCACAGGTGGATGGATGGACAGAGACAGACAGATAGGAAGATAAAGTATGGCTATGTCTGTATCAACTCAAAAATTTGAAAAGAATACGCATCAAATGGTTGAAGACATAGAATTTGATGGGCCAAAGATGAGCATTGGCTTCTTAAACAATGCAATGTTTAAGAAGAGAGCAAGAAAGATGTGAGATGGATGCATGTAATTCATAAAACAATCTAACAAGTCGTGTTTCTCAATGGGAAGTATACAATTTTTAAAAATTCTACACTGTCTTCAGCCCCACCCACTCGAAGGATCTGTGTATCAATAGGTGATAAATTAGAAATCAAAATGTAAGGTATTCTTGGGGCCGGCACTGTGGCGCAGTAGGTTAACGCCCTGGCCTGAAGTGCTGGCATCCCAAATCGGTGCCGGTTCTAGTCCCAGCTGCTCCTCTTCCAGTCCAGCTCTCTGCTATGGCCTGGGAAAGCAGTAGAAGATAGCCCAATTCCTTGGGCCCCTACACCCGCGTGGAAGACCCAGAGGAAGCTCCTGGCTCCTGGCTTCGGATCGGTGTAACTCCGGCCTTTGTGGCCATTTGGGGAGTGAACCAGGAGAAGGAAGACCTTTCTCTGTCTCTCCCTCTCACTGTCTGTAACTCTACCTCTCAAACAAATAAATAAATAAAATCTTTTTAAAAAAATGTAAGGTATTCTTATCATGACCTAATTTTGTCTCAAACGTTGTCAGAGCACATCCCGGGATATATGACTAGGGATAATTTTAATCTTAATTGCAGTTGGTATTTTCAAAACTGTCTTCAGTAAACATATATAACTACTGTAATCATAAAAATGCCCAACAAATATTCAAATAAAAATAGTGGAAAATTTTTTAAATGTTCAATCATTTTTTAAAAACCATCCCAAGTGTCCCCGTGCCCAAGGATTTCTTTGGTGAAACAAAGGGGCTTCCACCTTCCCTCAGAAGGCCTGGGCTAGAGGCACCTGGTGTCCACAGAACCGGAGTTGAACAGCTTAGCCCTGATCCTTGTCATTTCACCAGAGGAGCTGGGTAGACATGGAGGCGATGCAGTTCCCTTTGCCAGGCTTCCAAATACAGTGTTTTCTGAAATATGTAACAAGATAGTTTCAAAAATACTTCCCATCAATTTGGATAGTCCCTAGAAACTCATGGTTTCGGGGAAAGCTCAAAATACCAAGAGAAGGGGAAGCCAAGAGTAAAAGGAACACCAGTCGAGTTGCTGAACTTGAACTCATAAAAGGAATGTTGAGTCAAGAAGAGAGCTAGTTAGAGGAAGTGATCCCTGGCCGGCAGAAGGAAAACTCTTGGGAACTACCTTCCTTTTAGCTTCAGCGAATGCATTAGCCTTCGATAATCTGATCCTGTCTGACTTCCAACATTTTCTACAGTATCACAGTTCTTTTTTTTTTTTTTTTAAAGAAGGTGACTTTCTTTTCTATTTTATTTATTTATTTGACAGGTAGAGTTACAGACAGTGAGAGACATAGAGACATAAAGAAAGATCTTCCCTCCATTGGCTCACCCCCTAAATGGCCGCTGCACCGATCCAAAACCTGGAGCCAGGTGCTTCTTCCTGGTCTCCCACACAAGTGCAGGAGCCCAAGCACTTGGGCCATCCTCCACTGCCCTCCAGGGCCACAGCAGAGAGCTGGACTGGAAGAGGAGCAGCTAGGACTAGAACCCGGCGCCCATATGGGATGCCAGCACTGCAGGCAGAGGATTAGCCAAGTGAGCCACAGTGCCGGCCCCTTGTATCACAGTTCTGATATTCAAACAGTGTGGACATAGTCCCCAAAAATCTAAATTTACTTGTCACAAACTGATAAATCCAGGGTTACAAACGAACAAAATAAGACTGAATAAAATGCTAATTGTGTTTATTAGCAATTAGAAACATTTGGAAAAATCAGGCATTAAAAAATGTTGCTATAGTCTTCAGTAGTTTTAGCCTCAATTTTATATCATTTAAAACTATCTGATCTCTATTTACTAAAACATAAGCATAAAGGGAATATTATCATTTTAAATCATAAATCTCCATGAGGATTTCACCTTTTCTTTCAGTCATAAGCATTCTCTAATATGTACATTTCTAAAGGAAGGATGATGTCTTCTGTCAATAATCTCACAGGGGTTAGCAACTGCCTATATAATAATACTAATTGCATAGTATCAAAATTACTTATGAGGCCAGTGCCTTGGCTCACTAGGCTAATCCTCCGCCTTGCGGCGCCGGCACACCAGGTTCTAGTCCCGGTGGGGGCGCCGGATTCTGTCCCAGTTGCCCCTCTTCCAGGCCAGCTCTCTGCTGTGGCCAGGGAGTGCAGTGGAGGATGGCCCAAGTGCTTGGGCCCTGCACCCCATGGGAGACCAGGAGAACCACCTGGCTCCTGCCATCGGATCAGCGCGGTGCGCCGGCCACAGCGCGCCGGCCGTGGCGGCCATTGGAGGGTGAACCAACGGCAAAGGAAGACCTTTCTCTCTGTCTCTCTCTCTCTCACTGTCCACTCTGCCTGTCAAAAAAATAATAATAATAAAAAAATTACTTATGATACTAAGGAGGTACTGGCGATAATGATAAAGGCATACTGCATGACTGAGTACTAAGGTAAAGGCTTTCATGGTCTTGCATTCTGCTGTGATAAACAGATTTAGAAAATCTGAATTAATTTTGAATTAATTAATTAATTAATCTGAAGTAATTTTGAATTAACTGATTCATAGGAGGGAAATTCCATATCCTGATTGAAGCCTCTTAAAAACAAGTGAGTTTGTAAAAATTCTACTCTATCTGGTGTGGCCAGGAAGGATGAAGAGGCGCCTCCTTGAGCCTGTTTTCATCTTTAAATCATCACAAAGCCTTGCGAGGCTCTGGAGCTAAGGGCACTTGCTGATCATTGACTGTGTTTATTGATTATGTGCTCAGACTTCGATGTACATAATCTCTTAATCATCACATGCTTCTGTCCTCTGACTTCTGGTTCCATGGTCATCTTCTCAAATTACCTGGCAAATCAAACAAATTATCATTTTGTAGAACTACCAGAAAAAAGTGCATTTTTAGTTACCCTTTCATGATTTCCAAAAAATAACAGTTCAGGCAGTTCCTTCTTCAGGAACAAAAGTGCATTTCCTATCTTCCATATATGGTTCGTTTCAACAATTCTGTGGCCATCTGCAGTAACAGGAATAAAATAAGTTGCCTTTCACCTCTGGGATTCTACCAGTTGTGAAGCCATTTTTGTAAAGCCAAGGTATTCTAATGACTTGCACGATGAATCAATCACATGACTTGACACTGTTATTTTTTCCAAGGGTTAAATTGCAAAGTGTCTCCTTGGGCGTTAACATTGTGGAACACCTACATTGAATTCAACACCATGGCCCAGTACCTCAAACTTCCTGACTCCCGTGAAACCCATTGGCTGTTTCTTCCTAGGATGTGAGAATTGTTAAACTGATGGAAAAATGAATGCATTTACCAGCAAAACCAACAACTCAGGCATTGCTGTTGAACAAATATCACCATGAAGCCAGGGAATAAAATAATGAGCATGAATCTCAAGGAGCCCTCGATCTTGTGAGTGAAAACACACAGCTGAGTGGGGTAACCGCTATAAAACACAAAGCACAGCAAGAGCACTGGGAGCAGAGAATGACGGAATTAAAATGCTTTAAGGGGGTCTGGCACTGTGGCACAGCAGGTTAAAGCCCCAGCCTGCAGCGCCAGCATCCCATATGAGCACCGGTTCGAGTCCCAGCTGCTCCTCTTCCCATCCAGATCTCTGCTATGGCCTGGGAAAGCAGTAGAAAATGGCCCAAGTTCTTGGGACCCTGCACCTGTGTGGGAGACCCAGAAGAAGCTCCTGGCTCCTGGCTTTGGATCAGCTCAGCTCTGGCCATTGCGGTTATTTGGTGAGTGAACCAGCGGATGGAAGGCCTCTCTCTCTGTGTGTATAACTCTTGACTTTCAAATAAATAAAATAATTCTTTTAAAAAATGCATTAAGGGAGATGGTGAGATACACGTACCTATCATTAAACTGCAAAGAATTAGAGAGACTTCAATGGAAAAATATGCAGTAACAGTAGTACCCTTTGCCGTAACAGCTGCTGCTATTAAACGAATGCAAACTAAAGAGACATTTCCCATCCGGATTCTACCATGCTTTTCCCATGCTACAGTGGCAAACTCCGTAGGTAAGACAATAAGAAAATCAACACCTTGCAGCCAGGTAATAGGCAACTCAAAAGGGAAGCCAGGCATAAAAATGACAGCCACAAACAGCCCTCAGGAGAGCAGCAGCTGCTCCTCCCCGCCTCCCCGCAAGTAATTTCCCAAAGAAGGCAGATGGCGAGAGAGCTTAACTACAGCTCTCACACTCCTGCGGATTTACAGAGCTCTGTCCCCACCCAGGGCCAGGTCAGCTGGGAACCTTGACACGCGCTGTTTCGCGAGGGATTTTCAAACAGGGACTTCAAGACAGGGTGACGCTTCAGCCATCAGGGACGGAGAGGCTGGTCCATGAAAAGATGGAACTGATGATTAGAACGACTGTTACTTGGAGAGCCAAATTTTTTAAAAAGTGCATTAAACTTCTTCCAGCAACCGCTCTGCTCCCTAAGGGCAGGTGCAGAGGAAGCCTTGTTCTAAGACCTGCTCCAGGGCCAGGAAGAGCAGGTCCCGCTCCTAGGCTGGAGGCCCCTGGAAGACCCAGAAGTAACTGGTCTGGCCGGAGCAGGGCAAGCGGGGCGCGTGCCAAGCGCTCATAGTCGTTCAAGGCCTCCCTCTGTTAGAATATCTTCTGTCAGTTCCCTCGGAAGCTGGAGATTTCGCGGAGGCTGATTCCGCTCGCGGCGCGGGAGCGTGGGAGACGCGCTGCGCTCGGTGCGCGGAGCCGCCGCCTCCCGGGGAGCCACTCCCGCCCCGGCTCGCAGCCGGCGTGCAGGCCCCGCCTCCCCGCGGGTGAACCCTATAAAGTGGCCGCGGGTCCCTCGGACGCCAGGGTCAGCCGGGTGCCGGTGGGAGCCATGGCCCGGGAGCTGTACCACGAGGAGTTCGCGCGCGCCGGCAAGCAGGCGGGGCTGCAGGTGTGGCGGGTCGAGCAGCTGGAGCTGGCGCCCGTGCCCGAGAGCGCCCACGGAGACTTCTACGTCGGGGATGCCTACCTGGTGCTGCACACGGTCCAGACGAGCAGGGGCTTCGCCTACCGCCTGCACTTCTGGCTCGGTAAGGCGGCGCCAGGTGCCCGGGACGCGCCCACGGCGGACAGAGGCGGAAAAGCTGGGGGTGTGAGATGTGCGGGCTGGAGGGAGAGTGGGAACCCCAAAACGGGCTTGGCTGGACACCTCCACGCCCGTCGTGCGTCCACCGGCCCTCCCCGGGCGGCTGGCCACCTCCTGGCCCGCGGAAGTCCCCTCATTGCAGGCTGCAAAGGTGGGGCTCGGGCCCGCCCAGGATAGGCTTTCCCTTGGCTTTGACCTCCGTCAGGGCCATTCCTGGGCTGCCGGCCGGCTCCCGCCCAGGGCCGCTGCACCCTGAGGAGCTAGGCACGCCCCGCGACAAGTTCAGTCCTGGTCTTCCCTGTCAGGGCAGAGATGAAGTTAAACACCTTTGCCGCCGCGGGCGGGAAGTCAAATATCCAAACCTGAGTATGTGCGTTGGGCACGAAGTTCGTGTTTCTGCGCCAAGTGCGGGGATTTGTCTTCCAGGCCCTTTGGCGCCGGGACTCGGCCCGCACGAGGCTGTTTGCGGGGCTGGCAAACAAACCCTTGTGTTGATGTGGGAGCTGCTGAGCTTCTACGGAACAGGGTGAAAAACACAGGTATCATCTGTGGAAATAAATAGCTGCGCGTGATGTAGTTCATTATTTAGGCGAGTTGCATGGCTATTGCTGGTGAATTTGTTATTTAGTTGAACAAGGACACTGTGTGGAACAGGACGGCTCCTTGGGCAGGAGCAATTATTTTGGGCGGCGGTGCTGCCAGGCCAGCAGGACACTGGGCCCTGTGTGTCCCACTCTTTCCACCTTCTACTTTTACTCGTAAACTTCCTGACTGTCCGCCTCCCCACGGGAGGGCTTGTGCCAGTGGGCACGCCCGGCGAACAACGTGCCAATTATCTGAGCCTTTTTGCCTTCTTGTAAAGCTAGCTCCCCTCCCCTCTATTTGTGTGTCTTTCGTTTTAGTTTAGAGCTCAAGGGGAAAACACGCGAAACCACAGGTGCGCACGGAGCCCCTGGAAGCTGCTTTTATTATTTCTAATGTTTGAAGATTTTAGAAAGAAATAGAAATATTCAGAAGTGACAGCACACACTGGGAACAGGCATTTGAGAAATGAGAGATACTCTCATATTCAGAGGGACATCTGACTTGTCATTATAGCGCTTGGTGTTAGAATTTGGGGCTTGTTCCCAGAGGCTCAGGTGAGGGCTGAACACATTTTGATTTCCCATTCATTATAATGTCATGATTCCTGTTATAATGTTGTAACAGATAGCAATCTGTCTACATTGTGAGTCAGAAAGCACTCAAACCTTAATATGTAACCTAGGTTAGTGAATGAGTGATGCCAGGTAGCATAGTGATGGCCCATCCTGGTCTTTTCTCCCACAAATTGGATCTGGAATGAATAAAAGTGTAAATTGCCACATTGGCTATTTGGGTGAATCAAAGTGTGGAAGAAGTATCTTAGCATATACAGCAGTTAAGTTTGTCAGAAAGCCACAAGCAAGCTTTGAGCATAATTCTTTCATTCTATTGATTCTTTTTTTTTTTTTTTTTTTTTTTGGACAGGCAGAGTTAGACAGTGAGAGAGAGAGACAGAGAGAGACAGAGAGAGACAGAGAGAAAGGTCTTCCTTCCATTGGTTCACCCCCAAATGGCTGCCACAGCCGGTGCGCTGCGCCGATCCGAAGCCAGGAGCCAGGTGCTTCCTCCTGGTCTCCCATGGGGTGCAGGGCCCAAGCACTTGAGCCATCCTCCATTGCCCTCCTGGGCCACAGCAGAGAGCTGGACTGGAAGAGGAGCAACCGGGACAGAATCCGGTGCCCCGACTGGGACTAGAACCAGGTGTGCAGGTGCCACAGGCAGAGGATTAGCCTAGTGATTACCAATAGGGCCGTTAAGCATCATGTTTCATAGGCTTTACAGATTCACTTTAGCTCTTATTTATTTAGTGCTCAGCAGTTTAAAGACTCTAACAGAAAGAGGGGCAGAAGCTGTTTGTGAACTTAAGATGCTGGTACTGAGGTGAAGGGCGTGCCGCTGTGAGCTCATTGCTCAGCACTTAGTCAATGTGCCTCGCTCTGCACGAGGCACTGCTGGAGACGAATACTGGATGAAGCTTCCCTGAAAGTTTATCATCTCTAAGCTGAAATAAAGCGAAAGCTGGTGTAACACCAAAGAATTTGATACTGTGGAAGAGACGTGAATGTCCCGTGGTCACGGGCAACAGAACTTTGACAAGGAATACGAGAGTGAAGGTAAATGGTGCAATTCTGCACCAAGGGAAAATGAAGGCAACAGAGAAGACTTGAGTCAAAGGGACCCCAAGTCTCCCAGGTGGGGTTGGGGCTGGGGCTGTTCAGCAGCTCGTACAGTTTCTGTTCCCTCAGCAGACAGAGTTCAACAAGTTGGGAAGTGTCTGTGCCAGGGAGTATACTCGGCAATGGGAGGGACAAACACTTCAGCTTGGATGAACCCCCTGGGAATTATGCTTCGTGAAAGCAAAGAAAAACAACGACCTCCAAAGGTTCTCTACTGTATGGTTCTGTTTGTGTGTGATTTTGAAATGATGACACTTTAGGTTTGTTGTTGCCAGAGGAGCAGGGAGTCGAAGTATGCTTGAAGGAGTGGGGTCCAGGATTAAAGAGCCACATGAGTGATTCTTTTGGTGATGGAACTGTACAGTATCATATGATTTTGACAGTTATATGAGTTTACACATGTGATAAAATTTTATAGATGCCAAATGCACACACATTCATAAATGAGAACAAGTGAAACTGAGGAAATACTGATAAGATAGGCGGTTGTGTCAGTGCCCTGATTGTGGTATTCTGGGCTATATGGATATACAGTGTACCACAGAATGCTAAAGCATACTATGCTTTTATAAAATGTTGTCATTAGGGGGACCTGGGCCACTGACCTGGGTGCCTTTTCTCTACCAATACCACAGTGTTAGTTTCTGTACCTGACAGCCAGGTTCTGGCTCAGGGAGTGATTCCTCCCACCCTGTGTTGCATACAAGTCTTATAGTAAGCTTGAACGTGTCTTTAATGAGCTTTGCAAAGCCATAGTGTCCCTAGGCTGTAAGACTCAATATAATGAAGCACATTGGGGCGAGAACTGACATCTTTATTATATTGAATCTCACAGTGTGAGAACCCTATGTCTTTGCATTTAGTTACATCATCTTTGATTTTTAAATCAGCATTTTATAATTTTCAGCATATAGATCCTTCTCCTGTTTTGTTACATGTATGTCTGAGTATCAGGTTTTTTTTGGAGGGATTGTAAATGGCACTGTGCCTTTAATTCCAGTTTCTGCCTGTTACTTGTTTCTTTAGGGAAATGAGATTACTGTTTGCAGTTGACTTACCTTGTGTCCCACTCTTGCTGAGTACACTTACGAGTTCTGGGAGGTTTTTTGTAGATTCCTTAGGATTTACTCTGCAAACAATCCTATCTGCTCTACAGAGTGAGTTTTATGTCTTCGTTTCTACTCTGTGTGCCTGTTTGTTTTTCTTACCTTCTTGCAGTGGTTATTACTTCCTGTCGTGGGAAGTGAAGAGGGGTCAGAGTGTATCCTTCTCATCCTTGATCTGGGGAAAGCATTCCGTCTTCAGCATTAGGTCTGACGTTAACCCAGTGCTCCTTGCCCAAGCTATTTATGAAGTTGAAGATGTTCCCCTCTATTCCTGGTGTGGCAACTTCTTTTTATCAATGAATGGGTATTGGAATGACCTAGTTTTTAAACCTGCCTTTTAATTTGCAGCTTTTTAAAAGTTTGTTATTGTTTAATTGAGAGAGAGAGAGAACAAGCAAGCACACTCCTGTCTACTTGTTCACTCCTCAAATGTTCACGATAGTCCGCAGTGGGCCAGGCCAAGGCCAGGAGCCAAGAACTCAGTCTGGGTCTCCCACCTGAGTGGCAGGGACCCAGCCAGTTGAGCAGTCACCTGCAGCCTCTCCGGGTAGGCATTAACAGGAAAATGGGAGGAGAGCAGAGCAGGGATTCGAACTCAAAGTGCTCCAGTAAGCTACACCGTCATCCCAGAGGTGGCTTAACCATTCCACGGGGTGCCTGTCCCTTTATTTGTCTTATATGTAAAATCATGACATTCTCCAAATGATTTTAGATTTATAGCATATATACAAGTATGACCTAATGTAAAAAATATAACAATGTAACATAGCATACATCAGCAAAATCACTGTAAGAAAAGAATAAATGAAATTAAAAGCAGAATTCTCTGGGGCAAACCAAGTGAAATTATAAGCAGAATTCATTCGCAAAGTTCTTAAGTTCTGAACATTTGCTAGAATGTCATCATGCTATAATTGAATTTGATTCTAATTGTCACATTCGAAGCTGAAACTGGCTTCATTAAGGCCTTTTTAGCACTTTCCAAGTGAAAAATTTTTTTTTCACACTGATCTTCTCTTGCTTGCCTCGCACAGTACATGAACACCTTCAAATGACAGCATAATTTGATTATCTTATTTTCAGTTCATTCATTAACTTCATGTCTATCCAGTCACATCTACCTAAAGAGATTTAGGTTTGAACTTGTAGTCAAGTCAGGAATGTTTATGCCAAATACATAATCTTTAATACATTTGACATTAACCTTGATCAAGGTTCTGCCTCTCCCCTCTCCTGTGTCCCATCTCCCCCTCCAACTATCTCTGTACAGTCTATCTCTACATCTTTACCGGTATCTTCAGGTTGAGAAAATGAGCAGAAGGATGACACCAGAGCCCTTTCAACTGCAGAATTGCAAGTTTTTTTAAGTGTGTGTGTTAAATACTCACCATTGACCGCAGAAAATTCACACATTTTATCACATCACATATTGTCATAGCTACTGTTTTTTTTTTTTCTTGAGAAGATTCTTGCTACACAGTCTCCCCTTGAGAATGAGGGAGAGACTGTACAGAAATCCAGTTCTCCCTTTAATTCAGCTGGCTGATTCGCTCTCTTGACTTTGTGGTCTCATTTGGGTTTGTTCAGGTGCACCAGTATATGATCATGGTTTCTAAAATGTGTTGTATTAATTTTCCATAGTAGAAATTAACATACCATGATCACCACAAACTTTAATAAGGATCTGAGTATTTAAAAAAATCAGGCTGGCATTGTAGTATAGTGGGTAAGACCACCGCCTGTGACACTAGCATCCCATGTGGGCACTGGTTCCTGTCCCAGCAGCTCCATTTCTTATCCAGCTCCCTGCTAACAGCCTGGGAAAAGCAGCAGAAGATGGCCCCAGTGCTCGGGCCCCTGCCACACATATGGAAGGCCCAGATGAAGCTCCAGGTCCCTGGTTTTGGCCTGGCTCAGTCCTGGCCATTGTGGCCCATCTGGGGAGTGAACCAGTGGATGGAAGAACTCTCTCTCTCTTTCTCCCTCTGTAACTCTTTCAAATCAAAAATAGTAAAATCTACAAGTGTGTCCTAATTTCTAAGGGCTTGTACTTCAGTACCACACAAACTTTGGCCTTTCTCTGCCAAAGGTCACCTTATGATGTCAGGAAGGTGACACAGCCTCTCTGAGCCCCGTTGTCCTCAGGTGAAACATGGTAGGAAACAGGCTCTGCCGTAGAGGTTCCTTTCAGATGAAATAAGACCATCCATAGAAAATGCCAGCATAGTGCCTGGCCCATGCTAAGGGTACTGTATATGTATAAATGCCAGCAATTGTTGTGCCTAGAATCATTTGAGATTTTCATACAGCTCAGAAATAATAAGAACTTTGAAGTTTAACGAAATTCATGTCCTCCTTAGGGCTGTCTTAGCTCTGTCATGCGTACTGCCGACACTGTTCCTTAAAAATTGTTGTGTTATCCTCAGTGAGGTTGTCTGGATGGGATCTCTGATCAATTTGTGAAAATTGGATGATTGTTACATGTTAAATTCCTGGTGCAACATCAAGTACATTAACATTGAATAAATGCTAGTATTCTAGTCCCTTTTTTCCCCTCTTTTTCCTTTAGTGATTATTGCACTCAAAAAAAAATCAGTGAAGAGGAAAAAAGAATACTTAGATACAGGGGCAAGGTCAAGTTATATTCATTTCCTTATTCTGAGCAGCAATCAATTTCCTGAAGCTCTTTAACTATGGCCCATGATATTCATACTCTACATCAATAGTAACATTTACACATGGGAATCCTAAAAATGGACACTAATGAACACTAAACCAGTTATGGAATATTTTCATAGCCTGATCTTACTGGATATATCAAATGGATGCTTAACCTGAATCTTTCTGGAATACATTACATCTTTGAACAGCAGTGTTTCTTTTAGATTATTTTAAAGGATTAGGGAAATGCAGGAATAAAATAATTTTATTTGTTAGCTAAACAATATAATAAACCGTGCTCAGAGGTCTTTCTGTGGACTACTTATAGTGTTGATAGAGAATTAAAACAAACATTTCTGATTGGTCGTACCAGAAATTCTGCCCTACTCCTTGTCCTCGGTTGGTAGTCCAGGTGCTGTTGTTTGTCGTTTCAGGAAAGGAGTGCTCCCAGGATGAAAGCACAGCCGCGGCCATCTTCACTGTCCAGATGGACGACTACCTGGGAGGCAGGCCTGTGCAGAGCAGAGAACTCCAAGGCTTTGAGTCCACAGACTTCGTTGGGTATTTCAAAGGAGGTCTGAAATACAAGGCAAGCATATCCCAAATAGTGTCCATGCTGACACCCCTTCTCCTCCATCCATACCTCATGTCTTGGCAGAGTGAATGTTCATTGAGAGCAGGGATTTTGTTTTATTTTTGTTTTCATCTATTTTTTTCCCTGATATGCTCCCAGTACCTGCTGGCCGCATGGTAGATGCTCAGCAAATGTGTGTGGAATATATGGCTCATTTTGTGAAATATTATGACTTGATTTATTTTGGTAGGTTAATTTACTGTTTTTAAAAATATATTTGAGATACAGAAAGTCAGAGATACTTGCTGGTTTGCTCCCCAAATGCCCACAAAGGCCATGGCAGGGAGAGACTGAAGCCAGGGTCCAGAAACTCAATTCAGGTCTCCCCTATGGTTGGCAGAGGCCTTTACTAGAGCTGTTTCCCAGGTTGTACATTCTCAGGAAGCCAGAATCAGAAGTGGAACTGACTCGAACCCAGGCATTCCAAAATGGGATACAGGCCTCTTACCCAGTGTCTTAACTTCTAGGCCAAATGTTCACTCTCATGGGTTAATTTTTAAGAATGTCAAGAGCTTTCAAAAAAGCCCTTTAATATTTTGTGAAGTTATTTCAGTAATTAAATTTTGATAACTTGGGTTTTAGTGGTTTTAATTTTTGCTGTTTAGAGAATCTTTGAGTTTGTTGCCCGTAACCCAAGCTTTTAGACTCTCAGTTGTTCTAGAATATCTTAATACAGTATTTATAATAAGTACAATTTGAATTACTACAAAGAACTGTGTATGCATTTCCCACACAGTGTGGTTTGAGCTTATAAATATGATAGAGGTGAAACCACTGAGCTGAAAATATGTGTGGTTTAGCCACACGAAGTCCAACACACACAGTCAGCCATAAACATAAGCAATTTATATGTGATGGCCTGAGAATTCAGTCAATTAGCCTTGCTTCTGAAAATAACAAACAAAAATGAGTAGTCAAGTAGTTCAGTTGCTTTAAGGCAGCCTTCAGTAAAGGATAGTGGGGTCTTTTTTTGGTTTTCCTGGACTTCTCCCAGTAGGCTTTTTACACTGGCCATCCTTCAATTGGCCATCCCTGCCAATGGGTGTTAAGTTAAAGTGTGAGGACTGGAAAAACATTCTAGAACCTTTTCAAAATCGGATATATTCCAGTGGTTTCTGCATACCACACTGCCCCACTCCTTTAGCTTGTAACTTTAGTGAAGACCAGAAAATTGACATCTAAACCAAAACTGATTATAATAAATTTTCCTCTTAAGATGACACAATTTAGTTCTACCTTTACCTGTTCAGAGCCTTGCTTGAAAATTGTGTGATACCTCTGAGATCAGGACAAACACTTGTAGCTTCTCATATCTCTTGCATCATTATTTTAGTCTAAGCTATGAACCACTCTAAATAGAAAATGATCAGCTTTTATTTTATTTAATGCACCCAAGTTCTTCCAGTTTATGTCAAGTGACCCTAAAACTTCCTTTAGGTCAGTGAACCCAACATTTAAAATAGGCTGGGCCCCATAGGTACTGAAAACAGATGCTATGACATTACTTATATCTCTACTTCTGAACCCATTTTGCTTTATTCATTTGCCTTTAGAGTAAGAATATAAGCTTCCTGTGCTTGGTTTCTTGAAATGTGCAATGGATATTAAAGCAGGTTCCTCATGCAGACATTGCAAGGATTAAGGATTGAATTAAATAATAAATAATTAATTTTAAAAATTAAAATTAAATGAATTAAATAAACTATACAGTGTATACTCAATCAGTAAGGACTTATGTTATTAATCTTGCTGGCTATTAGCAAGACTTTCAAAATCAAACTTCTGAATACATTCAGAAGTAGATATGATTAAAGTCATTTCCCAGCTGTTGAATAATTATCATCTAATATTGAACATTAAAACTAACACAAATCAGCATTTTTAGAAAAGTAGTTTTTTTCTGGGCTGGCACTGTGGCACAGTAGGTTAATCTTCTGCCTACAGCATTGGCATCCCATGTGGGCACACGTTCTAGTCCTGGCTGCTCTTCTTCTGACCTGGCTCTCTGCTATGACCTGGTAAAGCAGTGAAAGATGGCCCAGGTATATGGGCCTCTGCACCCATGTGGGTGACCTGGAGGAAGCTCCTGGCTCCTGGCTTTGGATAGACTCAGCTCTGGCCATTGTGGCCATCTGGGGAGTGAACTAATGGATGAAGACCTTTTTCTCTGGCTCTCACTGTTTGTAACTACCTCTCAAATAAATAAATAAAATCTATAAAAAAAAAAAAAGGTGATTTTTGCCAACAGGTCAGATTGATTTCTCAGCAAGACATGTGTTCACTGTCTTATTAATGGCATTGAACAGATGTTGATGTGTACAGTTGCACAAACAACTGATAGCAAACTGGAAGCAGAGGTGATTTGCTACCCAGAAACCAAAGATGGTTGCATTATACTTAATTTCACCCCTGTATTAACTTCAGGCTAACAGGAATGTGCTAATCACTTCATTTGTATTATCACATTTGATATAAACAGCCATATGGTACAGCTTCCATCATAAATGAACCCAGGTTTGGAGAGGCTACATAGCTAGCCGGGTCCAGTAGCTGGAATAAGATTGTGACCATCTGACTCCAGTGCCTAAACTGGTGACCGTGATACTCTCATGCTCTCAACATAAATAAATGATTCAACTGGCAGGAAAAGTGTTGTAAGGTAATCTTATGAAACAAGATGTGTCTATTTGAAATGGGCAAAACTTGGCAAAGCCTACCGTTATCAAGTAAGTGGAAGTCATATTGAGTTTCATATAAAATGAGTAATATACAAGCTAGCTGGGAAAAGTCAAGGCCAACTTCCTGTCTCATTTGGTTGACTGTCATTTCTCTCTCAGGTCCATCACGGCCTGGGAAGGATTCATACAGGACTGTCACTCACTGCTTCTTGATGTTGAGTGTCTGGCTAGCCTTCTTCTCCCAAGCTCAACAAGACCCTGCCCTCGGCAGAACTTGTACACATATTGACAGTATCACTGGTTAGAGATCACTCACTTTTCTATTATTCTGCCTTCTGACAGAAAGTGGCTGGAAGTTTCTAATGTAAATTGAAGCAACAATCATGGAAAACCTATTTACACAACATAAGGTTTTTATTTTGTACTTTTGTGGCATCAAATACTAGAACAAATTATGTTTTAAAAAATCATGTTAGGGAAGAGAAGTTAACCTAGTAATTGAGATGCTCATATCCCATCTCCAGTGCCTGGGTTGGAGCTCCAGTTCCACCCCAGTTCCACCCCAGTTCCAGCTTCCTGCTATAGCCGACACCAGCAGGTGGTGATCACACTAGTAATTGAGTCCCTGCCATCCACATGGGATACCTGGAGAAACCAGTCATCAGCCATTGTGGGCTTTGGGGGAATGAAACAGCAGATGGGAGCACTTTCTCTGCGTATCTGTGTGTGTGTGTGTGTGTGTGTGTAAGAAAAAAATCATTTTTAAAAAGCATTAAATTTTCAGACTGTCACTCTGATTACTCGCTTTATGGCTGAACATTCTATATGTATCCTAAGACTATATGTTTTATAACTTGTCAAAATCAGATCACAGCGTATTTCTACTTAAAAACTGAAATGACAGAAAGCAGTAGAATATAATGAAAACTTGCATTTATTTTATTGGGTAGTAGTTCATCCAGTCAAGAAATGCAGAACTCTTTATAAAACTGTGACTTGGGAAATTATTATATAAGCTCTAACTCCTGAATCATCATTTAACCTATACTAACAAAACCTTTCTATTCATGAGGGTCTTTGCCTGAAGAATAGAAGAAATTTAAAGGCAGTGGAAATGTAAAAAATGTGCTATACATAAACAGTGGAATTTCTCATTTTGGGTTCACTGACATGTTTATATAATAAATTTGAAAGATTATTTTGTAGACTATACAACCAGCTTTTCTTATAGGAGGCCTTTGATCTATCAATGACAGAATTTTGTTAATACTTACTCTTAATTATACACATTACCTCATAATTATGGAAAGAAAATTGGTTCCTAATTAATTAGAAAAAAATTAAAAGGTGTGTGATGTTGCAAATAATGCAAGAAGATATAGTTGGTACAGCTAATATTTTTTAGCATTTCTCTAATTCATTAAAATTGTATTTTATTTTGTTTTGTTTTAGTCGAGATGTACAATCAAGATATTGCATCTCTCCTAACTTAAAAAACATACTCAGGTTTTTTGATATCCCTTCTATTCTATTTAGTAAACTCTGTTTCCTAGAAAATAAAAAAGCCTTTTGCTTTTCTTGATATAGAAACAGAAACCATACATAGAAGCACCCATCCACACCAGAACTCAACTTCTTTTCTCTGTCCTAACCCTGCAACTCGAGTGCCTGCGTTGTCTCTGCTCCTGCAGCCTCCTATCTCCCCTTCTCCCCGAGCTCTTCGTCTGCCTTCTCACTCACTGAGGCCTTTGAAAATCGTCAATCTCCCAGAAGCAGGAGCCACCCTTCTTCTTGTTAATGCAGCAGTTTTATCTACTGAAGGCTCTCAGCAAATATTTGCAGTTTTAAATTGAACTATAAAAACAGTACAAGGAAACCAAACAAATAGACCTAATTTACCAAGGAATACTCTCTCCATGTTTATCTTTGGTGGTGGCTATCTTATCTTGGCCCTGGTAGGTGTAGTTTTGGCATCAACATCTGTGGTTTTATGATTGGCTTATGGTTGGAGGTCTCATTGGTCTTTGTTCTGTGCTGTGTCTCCCCCTACCCGCCCCGCCCCCACACTGATCAGGCTGGAGGTGTGGCATCTGGACTCAACCACGTGCTCACAAATGACTTGACAGCCAAGAGGCTTCTCCATGTGAAGGGGCGGAGAGTGGTCAGGGCCACAGAAGTTCCCCTCAGCTGGGACAGCTTCAACAAGGGCGACTGCTTCATCGTTGACCTTGGCACCGTAAGTTCCATAGACACCCAGGAACCACCTACGGGAATAGATATTTTCAGATCAAATCAGATGTACCTGTCATCGAAGATAATCGGGATCATATGAGTAATTGGCAAGTATTTAAATGACACATAAAGTAAAACTTCAAAATGTGTGTTTTCTTTGATAGGTTTAGAATAAAGTAGTGAATTAGTTCTTCCTATCATAGAAAAGAAATTTAATAACTTTTCTTGTATTTCCTGTTCTCTCTGAACAGAATTTCCTCTAATTATTTTTGTTCATAGCTGCACATGGAAAAAAACAGCTTGAGGAGGAAACTGATTCTTCTAATAATCAAAGGCTCTAGCATTTAAGAAGGATGTGAATCTAAGTAGTCTACCAAAGGATTTGTGGGTAATTTCTTAACACACTGTGTGTTCTAAGCAAAAGGGACAATTTCCAGTGATAAAATAATACATTCTCTTCATTAATTCATACTTCCAGTGGTAACATAATTCATAATCTCCATTATTTGCAAGCATTTATTTTCTAAAAAACTTTATATGCATCATTTAATTGCTATGCAAATGCAAACAAATTTAATTATCATGAATAACTTGCATTTGAGCTTTCCAACTCTATTTTTTTGAGCTTGGCAAATCATTAACTTCTGTAAGCCTTAACTTCCTCATTTTTTTAAATATCTGGACTCTGATTTCTGACGCCACTTCCAGCCTTAGCTGACTACGATTCCGTCTAATCTGACACACAGTCACATGTCGAAAAGGCACTTATCATCCCAGTCTCAGAAGGACGACGAAAACCTTAGAAGATAGGAACAAATCACCCAGGCCTGTACTGGTTAAGTGGTGACCTGGATCTGAACCCAATTTTTCTAGTCCCAGATCACATTCTATTTTTTAATTGTTATTTTTATGACTTTTGTTTGTTTTTTAAGAGCATGAGATCGAGCTGCCATCCACTCGTTCACTCTGCTAATGTCTGAGGGCTGGGCTGGGGCTAGCATCAAGAGCTGGGAACTCAGTCCAGGTTTCCCACATGGGTGATGGGAATCAAGTTACTTGAGCCTCATTACACTAGGCTGATTAGGTATATACTAGATAGTTAACAAAATGTCTGCTAACAGTTTGAGCATCTGCTGAATCCATCATCGGTAATGCTTAATCTGGCTGAGATTCTCCTGAAAGTGGTATTATTCATTAAATCATTTATCATTTTGTGAATCAGATTTTCATGGAGCTTAGACAACAGGCTAGACAGTTGAAAGTTGTGGTAGATTAAGTCGTAGTTCTAATGTCATATGCTCTCTTCCTGTAGGTAGTATCAACTGGTAAAAGTATGATCCACAAATTCAGGCTTACATGAATTTGAAGGACAGTCATCTATTTAACAGTAAATTTTCTTTCTAATACATAGTTAATTATCTTTAATGTCTCTCAAGTCCTCTGCTGTTCTCATTCCTGACTAGAGAGACAGTTAGGATGATTTTGTTGCAGACGTACTTGTGTTTGTTTTTTTCTTACATTCGGAAGTTTGCTGCACTCTAAGGGGACACCCTACAAACATTAAGATGATCTATGTATGTGATGTGAACCTTTAAACAGCCGGTATGTTGCTGAAGGTTTCTAAATGGTGATTAGATCTTATAGTTACCTTGAGGACTTTATGTGGAGGTGTGTCTCAGCAAAGAAAGAAAGACTGAAATTTTCTGTATGGTAGTATTGAAATGATACTCCTTAAGCTAATTATTTAAAGACCACCCACTGCATTAGAGAGTACAAAAGGAAACCAGTACAGCGGCTGCTTCAAGTTTTTTATTGCCAGGCGTGAAGAATATAGGTTAAACTTCTGATGTTCCCACCCGTCTGAAGCCAGCTGACCCAGATTAAAGTTATGGCTCTAACCTAAATCTCATATCTTGATCATGCTTAAAAGATGTCGGCATTTTTTATAAACAGTCACTATTGTTAATATGATATGCCTTAGAAATACCTGCTCTTTTATACAGTCTTAGACTATAGTAGTTATTCCCCACACTTGACAACCTCTTCAACCCAAGCATGAAAATATGAAGTCATCAATTTAGTCAGTTCAAAAGTTAAGAAAATTATCAATATTTTAAAGAACATGTATCTTATATTTAATGTATCTTCATTAAATAATATGGAATGTAGCTAGATTGTAATAATTTGCAATTTACCAAATTTTTGTAAAACTACTTTTGACTTATATAATATAATGTTGGTGGATAATTATTTTCACACCACTTTTAAAGATATTTTTAGAAATTAATCAATCCAATAAACCCACATCTAGACATTTCTCAAGAAAGCAGAGTAACTACAGGATGTGAATGCTTCTGAGTAAAGCCCGTGGTCTCAAGGATTGGGGCCAGGTTTTAACTCTTGCAAATAAACGTCAGAGTCAGGCACTAGGGCCGGGCCGCTCATGGAGAATAAGTTTCCCAGGAGTAGAATTCCTGTGGCGAGTTACCAACCCTGATAGGTTGCATGTTCTGCTCCCTTGTTAACTGGTTGGGTCAGTTATGCAGCTTTGCCCTATTTATAACCTACCGCCTCCCCACTTTGTTGTCCTGCTACTTTACAAAAGCAACCCCCACTTCCTCATTTACCAGTCTGTCTTTATTCCTCACTCACGGTCTGACTTTCACTGCCACCAAGCCTCGGAGACTTCCTGCTAAGGGCATCGGTGGCCTCTGCTGAACACAGGGGGCATTGCTCATTGTGCACACGGCCCTTGGGCTGCAGTGTGCACTCTCTTCACCCCTACTCCTCCTGTGCCTCTCTTGTCTTCCTCACTTTCAGTCTCCTCTTTCTCATTCTTCTCTGCATGGTCTGCCCACCTTCTCAGTTCTTTTCAGTTATTCCAGTTTTTTTCCTTGTCCATTTTGGTTCATTTAAAATCACATTTAGTATTGTGGTTCTAAGAGTCATGAATCTCTTAGTCGCCCTTGCACTGAGTACATTTTTCCTCTCTCCTGTTCTTAAGGACATCTTAAGATATTATGAGATGCCTTAATGAAATACTACTATAGAATTTTCTAAAGGATTCCACTTTCAAGTGTTGTCCCTTTCTTTGTGCGTTCTTCCTGCCTAAACTCATCCTTACCCATAGCTTCACCTCCACACACAGATTCTGACTCACACCTCTTGCCCGAGCTCCATGTCAGTATCAGGCTGCCTCATGGGTCTTTCAGCTTATGTGTATATGAGCCCCTCGAGCTCATTATAGAAAATGGAGCTCATCAACTTCACCTGCTTATTTAAACATGACTTCTCTCATTGTCCTTACCAGTTAATGGGACCACCATTCACTCAGACTCTCAAACCCCAAAGCCAAGAGTCATCCTGACAACTTCTCCCAAGCATTCCACATTCATCTGATTCCTATCCAGTTCTCTTCTGCCTCACTAATATCTCAAGTCTTCCCTGTCCTCCTCATCACTGTTGATATTGTCTCAATATGTCATGAATGAGGCATTCACTTGAGTCTCCGTTGCTTTTCTTTTGCAGGTTGTTTACTTTGCCAAGAATGATCTCGTCTTCCTTGACATCTTTCTCTAGCAAGCACTCAGGATTGTTCATTCTTAAATATTCATCTCGAATACTGACTTCTTCACAATGTGTTCCCTGGCCAAATCCTCTTCTGCTTCTCTTGTCCGCTATCCTACCCGTATAGACTTAGGTCTACCCTTATCTTAGCTTCCAAGTCTGCACACAGAGACTTTCCTGTCAAACGTCTTACATTGCTTGCCCTTTTATTTATGATCCTCACTCACTTGCTTTGTTCTTAGTATAAAGCGCAGAACCTGCAGTCACTCAACAGATGTCTCAGCAAATGTGTGTCTACCCAGCATAGAGCACACAGTCTCAGGTAGTCCTGTATCCAGAGGTGTAATTTTCTTTTGTCTCAACCTAACTCTATTTCCAAAAGAGGGTTAAAAATTAAAAATAAATTTTCCTTTAGGGTGAAATTTGTTAGCCATCCAAGTAATTCAAACTTATCCCACCATTCATTTTCCAATCCTCAGATACAAAGGATGTGTATGAAATATTATGGCATGGGAGTAGGAAATGAAATTGAGGGTAGAAGTGAGTCTGGTTTTCAGTCTTCATTCACCTATAACTTTCATTGGGGCAGACCCATATCATTTATTTATTTATTTTTATTATTTGACAGATAGACAGTGAGAAGAGAGACAGAGAGAAAGATCTTCCTTTTGTTGGTTCACCCCGCAAATGGCTGCTATGGCCAGCACTGTGCCAATCCGAAGGCAGAAGCCAGGTGCTTCCTCCTGGTCTCCCATGAAGGTGCAAGGGCCCAAGCACTTGGCCATCCTTCACTGCCTTGCTGGGCCACAGCAGAGAGCTGAACTGGAAGAGGAGCAACTGGGACTAGAACCCGGTGCCCATATGGGATGCCAGTGCTGCAGGCAGAGGATTAACCAAGTGAGCCAAGTCGCCAGCCTCCAGACCCATATCATTTATTCTTGAGCCTTGGACTTTGGCTTCAGTCTGTAAAACATTTGGTGAAGACCATCCAAAGGCCCATTTTGGTCTTCCACCATCATGCCTACATGCCAACTGCAAGACCTCTCCTGGTCCTGCCAGGTACGACTGCATCCTTCTCAGGAACTTTGCTTTGACTTTCCCATCCCACACTGGAGTGGCCGGACATTCTGTTCTCATCACAGCAGGGCCCCTGGTCCAGCTGCCTGGACAATTTTTTTGACCAGTGTTTTCTGCTCTAATGCGCAGGCTCTTGGATGGCTGTATGACAAATCAATGAATTCTTCTCAAAGATTTGCTGCTTCTGGTCAGTTTTCCTACTTCTCTTTATCCCTAATTTTTTTTCATTTTGGACCAAAGTAGTCTTGTACCATTTCACATTCTTGCCTGTTCTACGGTTCCTGAAATATAATCTAGCATCTAAAGCCAAGATTCTGCTGCTTGATATGCAAAGCTAGCTTTTTAGATAGCATTCTCACT